TGTCGGCGCCAGGGCCGGGCCGGCAGCTCCGGCGGATGTGGGGTCGGTCCGTGCCGCGAGGTCGCTGCACAGCTACCGGCGACTTGTTAGATGGGGCGGACGCTGGCCAGCGCTGCGATCGGCCTGGAGCTCGCAGCTGGCGCTCTTTGACGACTTCAGAGATGGCACGGCACAGCTTCGCCGGATGGCTTCGTCATTTTGGGTCGTGCGACGGCCCATTTTTGAAGGGAATTCGATACGCTACGTCGCTCACTCCTTCATGAGCGCCAGCGAGTGCAATGTTCATATTATCCCGCATTGTTGTTGTGTTAGGAATTGCTGATCTATGCATCACTGCGTTTGTGTACTGTCGTAATTTCCGCATCCTGCAAAGCTGAAGGAAGTTGCAAGTTTCCTTGCACATTGCCACAACATCGTGACGGGGGTCTTGCTAATGCACGCTGGCATGTGTAACTCGCTATGCACGAGCCGTGCAGATCGTACAGGTAAGCGACCTCCAGCCTTCCACCCTGAGCGTCGCACCCGCTGTACCGGTCGAGAGTGTTGACTGGTCTCGGCTGAGACTCTGGTCCGTGTCGCAGCCGGCCGCATCCCGTGTGACGCCCAGCGAGCCTCCTGCGACCGGCGCCGCCGGGGCCAACGTCGCCCGGCGCTCGGCCGCGCGTCCGGCCGGCGACAGCTCAGGCCGGCCGCGCCCTCGACGCCGCCCGGCCGGCCCGCGGGTCACGGCGGCCCCGAATGTGCACTATGCGGCCGGTCCGAGGTCGGGCCGGGCCGGGCCGGGCCGGCTCCGGTCGCCAGCCGGATGCCGGAGCCGGCCGCCAGGCGTCATGCATCGGCTGCTGATTGATCAGCGCCGGGACGGACGGGCGCCGCGACGCCGACGCCGGCCGCGCCGGTCGGCCGCGCCGCGTGAGAGGGCTTTTTAATTCGGACCCGTGAATATTTTATCTGCTAATGGTCGCCCGCCTGGAGCCCGCTAATGGGGATTACGGCCACCGGTGGCCGGCGACGGGAGCGGTGGCCGGCTCGGCGGCGGCCGCGCTCGGCCGTGCTCGGCCGTGCTGGGCCGGAGTGGCGGCTGTGTCGGACCGCAGTATTTCACGGCCGGCCCGCCCCCGGCCGGCCGCGCGCGCTCGCGCGCGCGAGCTCATTGTGTCGCCCTGTGCCGCCTGACGTCAGCGCCCACAACACGGCCGGCCCTGCAGCCGCCGCCGCCGCCGCTGCCCTTTGTTATCGCCCACCGATTCGTGCCGGTATGCGCGAAATTGGGCGCAGTCTGGTCCGATATCGGGCTGACGTGTCCTCTGGCGACGGCGGCGGCTGGTGCATAGCGCACTGCACAATGCAGACGGGCCGGCGGGCTGGCCGGCGGGCTGGCCGGCGGGGCTGGCCGGTGCCGGCGAGCACGACTCCGGCTGTCGCTCGCCGGGCCCGGGACGTCGTCGCCGCCGCCGCCGTCGTCTGTCCGCTGACCGGCCGGGCGGCGCTCCGACGACGGCGACCCCGGCCGGCGCGACGCGGCCGGGCCAGCGCGCCGTGCCCCGGCGCGCTGCCCCCGAGGTATGCGGCGCCGGGCCGCCGGGTACGCCGGTGCAAAGGGAACGCGGTGGTAACCTCCCGCCGGGGGTGGGGCAGCGAGCAGTTTGGGGCAGGGGCGAGACACTCACCTCAGGCGCGCTGTGTGGCGTCCCAGTGCAAGACACTCAATTATGGAAGACACTTAATCGCTTCGCGAAGGATTCCCATCGTGACTTCATCGGTGACGTTAGTCCAATTTAATGTCGGTACAGATGTGCTAAGCGCTGTTTCCAGGTTCGGGTCATTTCATATGCAGCATGTTCAGCTTTAAGTAGCTCATGGGAGACGCATCATGCCAGGATTAGCGTGAGCTTCTCAGTGGCCGCGTAGTCTCAGGCCCATGCTGGGGGTTTGTACTAATTTGGACACCAGTCCTGTTCTGCAATGCTGACTGCGAGCAGGATGTAGCATGAGATTCATAGCCTTTGCGGTCAGTGACTTGATTTCGTAAGCTGGAGTTATTTCGTTCGCGCGAAGGGAGTCGAAAATTCGCGGGCGGCATTGGTTGTGGCACGGAAATTGGTCAGCTCTGGGATAGCCATACGATGTTGGTATTTAAAGTAGGATATTCGCTTTGAAGGCCAAAGGGTTTTCGTGAGACCTTTATCCCCTGGCGGTAACACCGCATGAATTTTTGTCGTCAGTTTTACTGCATGTGTTTTGCGTTCTTTTTGGCCTGGTGCGGTGTGGATCCGAGCTCATACGAAACACTAAAAAGCAAGCGCATAGCTGATTTGCTACAGTCCTGCACGGGACATCACAGTAGCGCTGCGTGTAGTCTGGTCTTGGCTACAAGTTACAGCGAACAGGGTGATCACCACCGTACCGTATCAGTCCACGTCCAAGCCAGATTTGTCCGCTCTCTTCGTCTTGCCGTCACCTTCTAAGGGACGGTGTTGTTCGGTGACTGACGATGGCCGCTGGCGTGTTTGCCTGCCCCGGTCACGTCGGCGTGAGGACGGCCTGGCCGGCCATCCAGACGTGCTCCGGGTGTGTGCCGTCAGTTTGCAGCATCTGACTTGTCAATCGCCGTTGCTTTGAGGTATATGGAACCTTCCAAAACGGATCGTCGTTCAGTAGCTTTTATCTAGGCTCATTTTTGTCATACCTGTGCATTCGTCGAAAAGGGGATGGAATAAGGAATTTCCTTTGAGTCGTTTGTAATGAGACACGTCATGTCACATAATATATGTTCCACCTTTTTGTACGTGCCGCCTGATCAGTGGTTTCTATCAACCGATGACTTTTTCTAACGGTAATTGCTGGCTTTTCGGAGAAATGGTCGTCGCCATCCATCATCGCCGCTGATAAGTATGCATGGCGGCCGGCTGGAGTGGGTCCGATCGGAGCCGGGGCGGAGGGTGGCGCGCGCCCGCTCCGGCCGGCCGGCCGAGGCGCCGCCGAATTCCCGAGCTTCCACCAGCCCGAGAGCGACACCGACGCGGCTCCTGCCTCGGCCAGACACGGCCTGAGGCAGAAGGGCGCTGACACGGGGGCGCGCTTGACGGGTCAGAACGGAGGCTGTCGCCGCTCGGGCTGGGCCCAGCATCTGGAGGCGGGCCGGGGCCCTAGATAGGCGGGTTCGTGACAAAGCGGGGATGAGACACGAACAGAGACCAGTGCCGCACGCGCGAGTACGAGCGAACGAATGGTGTGATGCGATCCGGCTCATCCTTGGAATATAACACATCGACCGTTAAAGCATTTTGACGATAGCGTCCGTGCGTCGAGTCCTGAATTCCCCTGATACGCAAGCGTGGCGCCGGATGCCCGGCCGTCCCGTGCGCGATCGCAGTAGCGATGCCCTTGCGTCGCCTCACCGTCGTGGCGGTCCCGCTGCCGATGCCGCCGGCGTGAGGGCTGGCCGCGTGCCGCCGGCCCGAGAGCGGGACCTCCGCCGCCGACGACGGTCGGTCGCGTGTGCCGGCCGCGCTCCCCGTCTAATCCATGTAATTGTCTCGTAATGAAAATAAGCCGGCCCGTATCGACTGGCGAGCCGTTGCCGCGGCCGCCGCCGTCCGGGCTGCGAGGCGGAAGGCTGTCGACCGCGACGCCCGCCGAGCTGTCGCCGGCTGGCCGGGGCGTAGGCGCCGATCGGCCGGTGCCGATGGCCCGCGGCGCGGAGGGAGGCGATCGTACGTGGTGAAGTGGGTCCAGATGGTCGGAAATGTAGTTTTGCTTGAGAGATTGAAGTGCTGCGTAGGCGTAATTCCGCAGGTATTGCGATGTACAGTTTTGGCATGTATGCACCCGGAAGCGGTCTGAAATGGAAGTGCGGGCACGGGGCATGACAGTATGAGGGAGAGAGGGCGACACCAGGCGCGCTGGTCGCCGGCAAAAACGCCGCGCGGTGCAGTAAAAACGTGGCCTGCCAGCCGCCAGCTGTAGCCGCCGGAAGCTGGCCGCCGTCCGGAAGGGCAGCAGCAGGCTCCGCGGGGCGGAGCTGGTCTGGGCTTGGATGGGCCGATCTGGACCAGGTTTCGCTGGGACGGCTGGTGCCGTGCTGCGCGGTCGTGCGCCGGCCGCGCCGGTGTCAGTCGGGCCGGGCCGCCCTCAGGAGGGCCGCGGCGCCGGGCCGTGACCGCGCGCTGGACCCCCGCCGGCCGCGCCGCTCCGGACGATTTGTGCGGCCGTTGGGCGCCTCTCGGGGCCGCCGAGGTCGCGACCCCGGGTCAGGTGTGGGGCCGGCGCCGGTACTGCACGGCCGCCCGCCCGGCCGCCCACCCGGTGAACACGGCTTACAAAGGCCGCCGGCTGCACGGCTGGCCGGCGATTGCTCGCCGCGGGGGTAGGGCTCTCAGCCTGCACCACGGAGCCAGCAGGACGGCGTTGGTGACTGACTGATCCGGGACTACAGTCTTGGCTGCTCCGTGAGATGAACGACGTTTGTGTGTGGGCGTGGGTGTGGGTGTGGGGTGTGGGTGTGTGGGTGGGTGTGGGTGTGTGTGTGTGTGTGTGCGTGTGCGTGCGTGCGTGCGTGCGTGCGTGCGTGCGTGCGCGTTTTATGTTAGTGTTAGTGGACGCGCTCGACGCGATTTGCGGGCTGCTGGACGTGGCATGTATAAAAACGCATGTCCTGCGATTCATGAACGTATTGTCACAGTTCTTAACAAACACCAACGCCCGGTAGCTTCGTCTGGTGCTGGAGAGCCCCCGAATCCACTTAGTTCGCTGCTGATCGCCCGGCTCCCATTGTTATCTGTCCAGTTTTTGTCGTGTGTCCAGCGTCCGGCCTCTGACCGCGCCGCCGCACTGTCCTATGGCCGTGGGGGGGTGGGGGGGGGGGGACTGAGGCCGGAGATGGCGGTCCGCTATCGCCCCCCGGATCGCGGCCGGCGCCGATAATTGTGCCGCCGCCTGTGACGGGGTTTTCCGTCGCCGCCGCCACTAACGAGCGCCGCTCTGCCCGTGCGCCGCAGGTCCGATGAGGAGGACGGCACGCCCAAGTACGGCCGCATGGAGGACGACGGCAGCCAGGAGAAGGAGCGCTACGCCAAGTAGGTGGCGGCGCGCGCCGCACGCCCCGGCCCGGCCCGGCACGGCGCCGCCGACCGACCGACCCCCGTCGGCGGACGGCGGAGCGCGGACGAGGGAGCGAGCAGCCGGAGCGGACTACGGACTGCGGTCCGGAGACCGTGGGCGTAGGCGCGGCGGGCGGAGTGGAGTCGGCAGACAGCGAACGCGGCTCGGACGCGGCGTCGCGCGCGGTCCAAGCCGGGCGATCGGCCGCGCCGCGTGCCGAGGAAAGCCGCGCGGGCCACGCGCCGGTCGCGCTCGTATTTTCCGGCCCGGCCGGCCGAGCGGCCAACTTTTCCGATACGGCGCCCGAACACGGACGTCCTAGCGGCCGCGGCCGTCCGGCTGGCTTCTATCATGTTTAATATATCTCCATATACGGGCGTAAGTGAATGTGGGCGCTGCGCCGCCCGGCACGTCCCGGCACTAAGTTAGCCCTAAAGCAATTATCCGTAACTACGTAATGCCGTCGGCCGACGGGACGCGCGGGGGAAGTTTGCCGAGCGGCGGCGGCGCCGGCGCGGCCAGGACGCGGATAACTCAGCCGCGCGAAACGGAGCGGACGCGGCCGCCGAATAAATGGCCGGACAGCGGCTGAGATACGGCCGAGCGCCGGGCCCGGACGGGCCGTGCTTCATGTCGAGGCCGTCCCGGGGCGGTCCTGGGGCGCGCGGGCGGCAGAGGCGCACCGCCCGCGGCCAGGGCGAGCCGGCCTCGGTCCGACCCGGCGCTACTCATTGGCAGGTACTGGGTGGTGGTGGCGACGCTTCCATGGGGACAACGTGCTGGGCCCGACGCCTCGGTGGTTTTTATCACGGAAGTCAACCACAAAGAAACGCATAAAAGTCGAGCCGCCAGCGGGTTTATGCATTCGGCGGGATTAAATGTGGGAGTTGTTTATGGAAACCCAACGTCAACACAACAGCGCCATCAATTACGCCGAATGACGGCGGCGACTTGGCGGCGGACGTTCCGGGCCGGGCAATGTCTGTACGTCACACGGCACGAGCGGCCCGCTGTGTTGACAGCGGGCTGACCTGCGGGACTGGCCCGGGCCATGCCGCCTCAGCTGGGGCCGGCGGAGCGTGCGGCCGCGCCGCAGCAGTGACGCCGCTCAGTGCCGGCCGAGCGGGCGCCGCCGCTATCCTCGCGTGCATCTCTCGGCCGGCCGCGTTTTGGCGCGCCGCGTTTTCCGGCCGGCGCGGCCATTGTCTCGCGGCCGGGCGGCGCGCCGGGAGAGCGGCCGCCACGGGGGCGGACGGCCGCGCGCCACGCCGAGACGGCGCGACCCGCCCGGGCCCGCCGGCCGGCCGGGTCAAACCGCCCCCGGGCACGGGCGGGCCGCGCCCAGTTCAGGGCGGCGGGGGGGGGGGAGGGGGCTGGCCGTCACCCCAGAGCTCCTGTACGGCCGCCGGGTCGGCCCTGGGGCCAGAGCTGGCTGTGCGAATGACCGGCGGAGACCTTGGCGGCGGGCAGCGCGGCCGCTGAAAAACCGGGTACGCCAGCCGGCCCAGTGATCGGGCGAGGGGCCGTGCGCAGCCCGTAAAAAGCGGGCCGGCGGGCGCGGCGCCGACGTCCGGGCGTGCCGCGGCCGGCGCGCTCCGGACCCGGCGCCGAGCCGCCGGCCGCCCGATCGGCGGCGATCGGCACACTCGGCCAAGGCTGCGGCGCCGGCACAGACGCGTCCCGGCCGACGGCACCAGGCGTGCGCTGGCGGCGCCCGGCGTGCGGAAGTTTGGGGTGGTTCACAGCAGGGGTGCCAGCGCGGGTCAGGCGCTGGGAGGATAGCGACGTTTCGCAACACTTGTTTTTGTGCAACATCGATACACGTAATGTTAGTTCCTCTGCTGGCTGGGGACAGGCTTCTTCAGCCATCTCTCCTCTTCGGCGGAACTCGCGGCTGACAGTTACGATACGTGGTGACCGACGGACAAGCGATGCCTTTCAGAGATGTGGAGCTGACAGTTACGATATGTGGTGGCCGACGAACAAGCGATGCCTTTCAGAGATGTGGAGCGGCTACAAGCTGCACGGTGTAGAATTTCACGGTCTCTGCTACCGGCTACGTTGCCGTGAGATACGGGCCTTTTTAAGGTACGATCTTATTCCTACTGGCTTGTCTAAAAGCAAGGATCATAACAGCGACGAAGTGGTTTGTCAAAACGGAAATGTTTCGCTTATGCGCGGAGCGTTCACACTTGGGCATGGCTGCATTTGGCTGCTGTCGGCCGAAGGAACGACTTCAACAACGCCATACAAATCCGGAATTGAAGTCATTTTTCGTCACGAATGAAATGTTTACTTTGTGAATTAATCACGACAACGTTCCCTTTGTGTGCGCTGAATGGGGCTGCGAATGAAGACAGTAGAAGACAGTGCCAGTCACCCGAGTCTATGGCACACACGATCAACGAGATTGCATCTGCGCCTGTTACGTCACACCTGCAGACATGAACTCGATCGATATGCATAAGGCCTCCGCCATCGACCGCGGTTATCGCGCCGATCGGCCTGATGCGGTCGTTACTTTTTCGCCGCACTTTTATCATACAGCACGCCGTCTGCAATGGGCCGCCGTCGCTGCCCGGTCCCGTGCTCTCCCGTCGGGCGACGTGACGTGGACCTCTCCCGGGAGAGCGTGCCCGAGACCGACGCCCGCCGCGGCCACGTCGCCTGGTAGCCTGCGCCGAGCGGGACGGTGGTCCCCGTGGCCGACCAGAAGGGGTCGTGTTGGCCCGGGTCAGCGGCGGGCCGGCCGGCGCGGTGGCGAGGCGCTCACGCTCGACGGTACCGCCCCCGTCCGCCGCGACTCGCGACCGTCCTCATCTGGGGCGTGGTCGCAGCGTTCTCACGCCACGTTGGAGTGTCGCGTTGAGCCGTCGTTTGCAGCAGGGGCGCCGCGCTGAGCCGTCGTTTGCGACGTCGGTCGCCCGTGTCGTCCGCCGCTCCGCGGTCCGCTGTCCGCAGTTCTGAAGCTCCGCCGCTCCGCCGCTCTGCTGCTCCGCCGTCCGCTGTCCGTAGCTCTGAAGCTCCGCCGTCGGCCGTCGGCGGCCGCACCCCGCACGTGTTGTCCTGCATGCGACCCGTCCAAGCAGCGCCGATGCCGCCGGGAGCCGGGCCGGGGGTGGGTGGGGGTCGACTGTCTGGGAGCGCGCGATCCGACTGCCCCGGCCAGTAACACGGGCTCCACTCCCGCCTCCAGGGAGAACCACTGCGAGATCGAGCGGCGGCGCCGCAACAAGATGACCGCCTACATTTCCGAGCTGTCCGACATGGTGCCCACCTGCTCGGCGCTCGCCCGCAAGCCCGACAAGCTTACCATACTGCGTATGGCTGTGGCGCACATGAAGAACCTCAGAGGTAAGTCGGGCGGCGCGCGCGCGCGCGCACGGCCGTCTGCACGCGCCGTGCACGCGGCGGCGGCCGCCGCCGATGCCTTTGTCCGAGCTCGGTGGCGATGCTATCGTGTCGGCCAAGGGCATCAGAAATGGTCGTAACGAGCGTAATGTCTAACCCAGATCCACTAACGGATCATTGCTGCTCAGTACCTCACGTTTTGAAAAGGACGCGCCGTAGAGTTCGTTGGCCCTCTGTGTGCAAGATGTTCGTTACGATTCTGTTGACGCGGCGCGGTGTGTGTGTGTGTGTGCGTGCGCGTGCTTCTCGGCGCCCGGGCTGCGGCGCCGCTGCCGGCTCCGGCGGGCGCAGCCGGGGCCGATCCGACACCGACTCGGCCGGGCCGGACCGCCCGCCGCTGATGATTTAGTGGTGCGCCGGCGGCCGCTCTGCCGGGACCGATCTGGGCCACGCGCTGCCGGGCGGCGCGCGGCCCGCTGACGCCGCCGCCGCCGCCGCCCTCACCGCCCTCACTCGCGAGCTGCCGCCGCTCCCAGCCTACCCCAATCGTTCTCAGCCGTTTCGGGCTGCATAAATCAACGCTAATGGGACCGCACGGCGATTATGTGATTCGGTGGCGGTTTGTGGAGGCGTTGGGCCGGGCGTCGGCTGCCGCTCTGCCGCCGCTGGGTGGGCTGACTGGCGCGCGGCAGAGCTGGCAGGTCTCCGTCCCCTCAACGGCCGGCCGCTCCCGTCGACGGGCCGGGCCGCTCCCGCTCGGGCTGCTCGGCTGGCGCTGGCCGGCCGCGGCCGCCGTCACCGAACGGGGGTCTCGGCCTCTGGCGGCGGGTCGCCCGTCCTGCGTCTTCCAGCTGGCTTCCTGCTCGGGTCTGGTCGCCGCTCCGCCGCTGCCGAATCGGCCCACCTGCCTAACTTGTCTTCCGAGGGCCCGCGGCGCCCCGCCTGTAGTGCTGGCGGCGGCAGGACGCCACCTCAGACATCTGTCGGAACGGCCCACCCCCGGCCGCGTCACAGACCGCCGCCGCCGCTGCCGCTGCCGCTGCACGCTTTGATTTCATAATTGGCGGTTTCGCCATGCATGCAACGGCGCGGCCGGCCGGCCGGTGCGCGGTGCGGCGCGGCGCTGGTGAAGGGAGGCGCAGGGGCCACACGCGGCCCCACGCACGGTCCAGCGCACCGGCGCCCGACCGCGCCGATGGGCAGCAGTGGGTCAGACGGACGGACGGCCGCCGCTGGTGGCGGGCTGCAGCGCGCTGCCCTGAGCGCATCGGAATTTGGAGCGGCTCCCGAGGGTTGCCGGCCGCTGCGCTGAGGAGTTTTCACTGGCGCGCTGTTGGCTGCCGTTGCGTGCGCGGCGAGCGCGGCTGTTAAAAGGCCGCGTTTCCGGCGCGTTTCTCTTGCGTGCGCCCGGCCGGGGGCGGCGCGCCCTCCGGCCGACGGGACGTGCCGGCGACCTGCCAGCTGCGGCGGCGTCAGAGGCAGCCGGCCGGGCCCGGGTACTCACTGGCCCGGGTCGGTTCTCTCGCCGTGATAGGCTGCCCTCTTCCGTGCCTCGAGAGGCCTCTTGGCTCCGGGTTCGGGGTGCTGACAGGGCCGGACCCCAGCACCAGCGGCTTCCGTCACCGCTGACAGCCGGAGACGAGCCAGCCGGTGGCGCTCGCCGCGTGGTAACGGCCGCCGCCGCCGCCGCTGCTGCTCCGCTGGTCCGGCCCGGCGCGGCCGCTCGTAGCACGACCGAACACGGAAGGCCGCTGGTGCCGAGTGGCGGTGGCGCTTTGCACCTCCGTTTGGCTATCGCAGCATCGGCCCGGGCAAGAGGTCCGCCTCGCGGCGCCGCGACCGCCGCCGTGACCTGCAGGAGGCCCGCCGGGGTCCGCGCCGCCGCCCGGGTCGGCCGGTCACCGCTGGGCAGGATGTTGCGGGCTGTGCTCGCCGTTTGGCTCGATTCGACGCGTTCTTCCCCCCCCCCCCCCTCCCCCCCCCCCCCCCCGTCTTGTGGCGGAGCGCTGGGTGCCGCTGTGTCTAGCAGCATAAAGCGGGGCGTTAACGTCGCCAGACTCCACCGAAACGCGAGGCTGCGCTCACACGCCCGCTGCGCATGGGCGCTGACTTTCGTTCGCCGGCACCACTGCGCGGGCGACAAACGTAACGAGGCAGGTGCACCGGAACGAGGCGCCCCGTCTAATTGCCGTTGTCTAATTGTCAGCTGACGTGTCAGATGTCGTCCGACGAGCTCGGCTGGCGTTCGTGCGCTGCCTTCCGAGAGTTTGTCGAGTGTCGTGAAGTGAATACCGTGAAGATGGTGAGATGGGATTTAGTTGTGCCGGGGCGGACGGTGGCCCGGGCGAGGTGGGGCATGTACCTGCTTAGGTCTGCGGGCCATGTGTCGGCAGGGAAGGTGTCGGCATTGAATGTCTCGCTCACCTCGTTCAGCGTAAATGATACATCGATGGTTGCCAAGGAAGCCACGACGTTGCGTGGGCGACCATGCCTGTACGCCGAGAACGGTGCTGTTTCGGGCGATTCCTGTCTACGTCATGGCGAACGCAGCGGCGCGCGGCGCTCGACACCCTCAGCGGCCGAGCCGGTCCAGGCCGGCAGGGCTCATCAGCCGCGGCTGCCGCCGCCGGCGTGGAACCGGTCCCGTGGCGCCAGAGCCCGACCGAAGAATGCTCGGACGTCCGCCGGGCCGATTGTGTCGGGTCGCATTAGCCGGCCGGCGGCCAGAGCCGGCCGGCCGCGTTTGTCATGCGGTCGCTGCAACGGCCGGCCGACGGCTAAGTGCTCAAGCCACTCGGGATGGATGCCGGGCGGGGATGTTCCGGTCGGCCGGTCGGCCGGCGCCGACCGTCGGCGCGTCGGCGCCGCTTTCACGCGGCTCTGGTCCGCGACGCGACGAGGGCCTGTCGTTTGTCAAACGGCCCGCCGATGCTCCAGTTGTCTGTGACGGCCCCGGGACGGCGCGCGCTGCCTGGAGACGCGTCCGGTCCACCTGTCGACCGGGCGCGGCGCCTCCAGACCTCGGCCAGGTCCGGCCCGGCGCGCCGCCGGAGCGGCGCGCGCGCCAGGAATGCCGCGCCGCCGCTGTTTTTCCGCCTGCGCCGTTGCGTGCTGGCCCGTATTATTGGATCCATATTTTATGAAACAATCATTGGAGTTATTACAAAAGCGAGCGGCGCGGCGGCCGCCGGCCGAGATTGAGGGGTCAGCGGTCGGCGCGCGGCGCGCCGTTTTTGCCGCGCGCGCGCGCGCCGTACGGTACCGGGCCGGGCGGCTGGCCGGTCCGGCCTGGGCTGACCCGTGCCCCGTCACCCCGGGGAGGCGGCGCCGGCCCCGGCCGACTTCCGTAATCGCCGGGCCGGGCCTCGCCCGACGAACCGCCCGTATGTTGGCCCTGGTTTATAGCGGCCGGGGAGTCCGTTCGTCATGGTGCATGTTGCGAAATTCGCCCATCGCTGTCCGCTTGGGAAAGCGGTAAGCACGGCTATAACTCTGGCCGACATTTACCGTAAACTTCGATCATAATTATGTTCATTCAGCGCTGGCATAAAAATCCAAACAGAAACACTCGCGGCTCATAAATGCCTGCAACATTATAGCGTTCCGTTAAATTAATGGCTGCAACTATGGACCGTGAATTTCGAATGTGTCCCCCGCAGTGCGATACATTCGTGTTTAGCTTAACTGCGCGCCGCGTACCCGCTTATTAGGCTGTAAATTGTGACACCCGCGGTGTAATTAGTCGGGGCTTTGCGCGGCGCCACCGTGTCGTGATTGACGGCCGGGCGGCGGCCGGGCGGGCGCCGCGTCAGTCAGATTGTGCACGGCCTCGCGGCGCGGCGCCCTGCCGTATCAGCGCCGTGCCGGCCGCCCGACACGGTGTCACCCCGGGTGTCGGCCCGGACGGAGCTCGTGTCGCCCCGCGGCTGTTAGGCCCGCGGCGCTGGCAGGCGGACGAGCCGGGATGCGGCGTCAGAGCTGCGGAGCGGCGGCGGCCACCGCGGCGGCCCAGCGTGCCGTCCCCGCTCAACACTGCCGCCTCTGCCGTGACGCCGGCCGCGCCGCGGGGCCGGCCCGGCGCGGGCCGTCCCGGGGCGGTCGCGGCGGGTGTCGGCCGGGGCAGGTCGGCTCGGCGCGATTGATGCGCTGCGGACCCGGACTGCAGCCGCTGATGAATGGCCACGCCGGGGGCGGCGCCGGGCTCCGACCGACGGGAACCGGCGCGGGACCCCGCGCGCCTCGCCGGTGGTGGGACTTTCGCCGGCGCCGGAGCACCGCAAATGTCAGCTCAGCCGCTGACGGCGCGCGGCTGACCGTGGCGGCGGGGGACGGTCCGCTGCGGTCGGGCGGCAGTCCCCGGACCGCCGAGCCGAGCCGAGCCGAGCCGAGCCGAGCCGAGCCGAGCCGAGCCGAGCCGAGCCGAGCCGAGCCGAGCCGAGCCGAGCCGAGCCGAGCCGAGCCGAGCCGAGCCGAGCCGAGCCGAGCCGAGCCGAGCCGAGCCGAGCCGGGCCGAGCCGGGCCGGGCCGGGCCGGGCCGGGCCGGGCCGGGCCGAGCCGAGCCGAGCCGAGCCGAGCCGAGCCGAGCCGAGCCGAGCCGAGCCGAGCCGAGCCGAGCCGAGCCGAGCCGAGCCGAGCCGAGCCGAGCCGAGCCGAGCCGAACCGAGCCGAGCCGAGCCGAGCCGAGCCGGGCTGGGCCGGGCCGGGCCGGCCGCTCGGCCCAGGCCGGTGCACTGGTGCTGCACCGGCCATAACCGTAAAACGAACCTGCAGCGAGCCCATGTGTACACGGAGATGGCTGAACGATGCGCGATGATTAGACGCCGGGATATTGCGCTCGTAAATTAGCCGGCGCCAGTGCCGTGGCAACGCTGCTAATGGCGTCGTGGTGTGGCTTACCGGCTTATGGGCCCGGCGAAAATGGTGTGCTGTCCGAGCTGTCTGTGCTGGTCGGGCGCGATTTGTTTCCGTCAGTCGGACCACTTTATCTTGATGGCAGATCGGGGAGGCTGAAGTGGAATTTCGCTATGATTGCTCCGATCGGTATCGGGAGTCGGTCATAATGGAAATGTACGCCGGTTATTGGGGCGTTGGCGGGACGAAAGTCGGGTTCGGCCGTCACGCGCTCATCTGGCGTGGGAGCTGCCGCGAGCCGGCCGGACTCCGCGCGGCACGCCGGCTGCAGCCCGGCGCCGGGGCGGCGGTCGCGTTTGCTCAGCGCGTTAGCGTGATCGATAGAGGCATATGGGCCGTGTGCTGAGCATGGCGCCGCCGTCCCGCATATTCAGACCGGAACTGTGGGAGTGCTCCACGGAAGTTTGAGATGTCGGTCAGTGCGGCAGACGGATGGCTGCTGCGGTCGAGGAGCGTGTCTGAAACGAAGCGTACGCAAGTGACAATCCACCAAGGTCTGCAGGGTGTGCTGCGGCAGAGAGAGCGCCCGAATCGCTCTTCCCCAGCCGGGCCGCTTTCCTCGGGCAGTTCTAAGGTCAGACATATAAATGCGGAGTTTTCCAGCTCCTCTGTCTGCCAGTCCGCGCCCACGACCTCGATGCTGCCACCCTCGGTTCCCGTGTGACCCCCCCCCCCCCCCCTCTGGGCCAGCCCGGCGTCGCCGGTGCTCAGTTGCCGTGTGCCCTGCCGGGTCAGCCGTCATGTCTGTCGTCGGCACGGTCGGCACCTCGGCCGGGCTATGCCACCGCTCGGCGCCGCGTGACCGGTGCCGGCCGGTCGTGCCCCGGCCCCGTCACCGGCCGTGTCGGCGGCGACCGAGCGAGACCGCCGCCGGCGTCACGGCCCTCCGGCGCGGCCGACCCGGGCCCGGGGGAACTCTCACCCAGCGTAACCGATCCAGGCCCGGGGAGCTCTCACCCAGCCCGGGCCCCGGGCCTGGGTCAGGACTCTCAGTGAAGAACTCTCCGCCCGGACTCAGAGCTCACTAAGAGATCACGGAGGGCTCACAGAGAGCTCACTGAGAGCCCTCTCAGAGCCCACTCAGAGTCCACTCAAAGCCCTCTCAGAGCCCACTCAGAGCCCACTGACTGGGCTGGGTCGCCGGCCTGCTGTCGCCTCCACGGCGCACATGTTGTGCCGACGGCTGTGCTGGTCGGCCGGCAGATGAGGCCGGCAGAGTGTCGCGGCGGGCGTGCGTTCGGGGTATCACCACCGATCTGGTGCGGAGAGATGGTGGATGGTGGCCACCCCGCCCGGCATCAATCGGTGTGTCCGGACCCAACTGTCGGTGTCCCAAAAGTGGAACACCGACACAGACGTGTCGGTGTCCCACTTCCGACCACTCACCCTGGCAGCGCGCACTCTGGCTACGCGCCGTGCGTGGCTGGCTCGTGGGCAGCTGTAGCCCTCAGTCCCGCATCACTCACACACCCGCCGTGTGTCTCCGGCAGGCACCGGCAACACCAACGCCGACGGCGCCTACAAGCCGTCGTTCCTGACCGACCAGGAGCTGAAGCACCTGATCCTGGAGGCGGCCGACGGCTTCCTGTTCGTGGTGGCCTGCGACACGGGCCGCATCATCTACGTCTCGGACTCGGTCACGCCCGTGCTCAACCAGAGCCAGGCCGACTGGTTCGGCGCCACCATCTTCGACATGCTGCACCACGAGGACGTGGAGAAGGTGGGCGGCCCGTGGCGTCCGCCGCCCGGCCTCCTCGGAGGCCGAGCTGCCCGGCCACCTAACCGGACCCGACCTGACCTCAGACGTGGTCATGGCTGCGGTCCGCTGCTGGCTGACACACTCCCGAGTAGAGTGTGTGCTGTCTGTCTGGCGGGTGCTGTGGATTGGCTGTTTAGAAGCAGCGTGTTTGGTCTGTGTGGTGGAAGAGGAGGGGAGGGCGGGAGTCGCGGTCCTATGGCGGTTTTCGCCTAGCATGGCACGCCATTGTCCCCCACTCGTGTGTACACTGCGGAGTAATGCGATAAACTTTGTGTCTGCGCCTGGTGAAGACAGGCTTGCCCAGCTCGCACACATGTGGCGAGCAAAACAAAACTGGATATTGGCTGACAGTTGTTTTGAACATGCAGCCGTGGAGGGATGTCCCCAGTTGTCTTCCGGGCCGTCAGAACCGTTTGTTCACTCAAGACGTTGTTGTTCAGGAAGACCGTTTTCGGGGGCAACACGTCCAGTAAACCTTTGTCGGAAAGTCATTTAAATACCCGGACGTTTATCTTCCTTTCTTTTGCTTGCCGTGGACGCATCTAATTTGTGTAACGTCGGCTGTGTATTCGTCTAATTGGTTGTCGTTTGTTCGGCACGTTTTACATTCTTATCAAGCAACGCCGAGTGCCTGTTAGCCATGAAACTTACATGCTTTGTTCTGGGCTGTTTGAATGCTAGAGCTTTTGGTTTAAATGCCAAAAAGTTGAGTCATCCTCTGTAAAGCCTTTGTGTCCGATCGTTGATGTCGACCGCTGTCAGCACGCCAGCTGACCTGAGCTGACCTGCCCCGACTGTCCTGACCTGACCTGAGCTGACCTGACCTGACCCGACTGTCCTGACCTGAGCTGACCTGACCTGCCCTGACTGTCCTGCCCTGACCTGACCTGAGCTGCCCCGACTTCCTGCCCTGACCTGACCCGAGCTGACCTACCCCGACTGTCCGTGGTCAACAGGTGCGCGAGCAGCTGAGCACCCAGGACACGCAAGGCAGCGGCCGGATACTGGACCTGAAGACCGGCACCGTCAAGAAGGAGGGACACCAGTGTGAGTACCTCTCAGCGGGGAAACGTTTGGTGCACCTGCCCGGCGGCATCTGCTGGTGTCACGCGAATATAAGTTATTCTGCACCGGCCAAGAGATGCGTAGACACCGGTGGAAAGGCGAAGAGGCTCCGCTCCTTCTGTCCGACTTGCGAAGTCGCCATCAGATGTCTAGCGACCATCTGTCCACAGTGCGCTGGTCATCCCCTGGCACCTGGACTGGTCTGAAACGGTACTTGGTCGGCGATGTTGAGGTAGCGCCGGTGGGAATGTTGCGATGACCCTTGACCCAGACCGTGGAGCGCGGCGACAACAAAGAGCCGGCTTTGTTCCTGTTCCTGGGAGCTGTCTTTCGCTGGAACATCCCTTCCTCGAAACGGCCTGCCGTCCAAATACGGGCCATTGCAGATTGGGCCGGCGGACATGCTGGACCGGTTGCCGAGAGCCCCTGTGGTCCCGGGCGGCGGAAGGGAGGCATCAGTCGCGTCATGGCCCGCTCACGCAATAGAAGGGCGGTGCGGCCCGAGCGCTCAGCGCTCCGACACGCCACCAAGCTCGGGTCACAAGCGCCAGTCCCGTAACTCCCGCCGTCCCGCGTCGTGCCCTTCCGACGCCCACCGCCTCCGGTGGTCTCCCGCCGCTGCCCGTTGCCTTTCGCCGCTGCCCGTGTCCTCCTGCCGCTGCCCGTGGCCTCCTGCCGCTGTCCGTCGATTCCTGCCGCTGTCCGTGGCCTCTCGCCGCTGCTCATAGCCTCCCGCCGCTCCCCGAGGCCTCCCGCCACCGCCCGAGGCTTCCCGCCGCTGCCCGAACCCTCCCGCCGCAGCCCGAACCCTCCGCCTCTGGTGGCGCCGGAGCCACAGCCGGGCGATTGAGACGCGACGACGGCGGCGGCCCAGGAAGCGGCCGCCGATCGACGCTCGCCCTAATGACGGCCGGCCGGCGGCACGCAACTGTCGCCGCCCGCCAGCGACGCAAACAGCGGCCGCCGGCAAAAAGCGGCGTAATGGCAGGCGCCCGTGCCGGCCGACGACGGCCCCACCGCCGCCGCCGCCGCCGCCGGCCGCCGTCGATTGATGAGTGCCGGCGACGGCGCCGACGGACGGCCGGTTTTTACGCCGCGGCGCTCTGTTTTTGTGAGACGCGGCAATAGGCCGCGAATCGCCGCGCTTTAATTTCGCTGCTGTGAGCGAGCGCGCCGCCGCGCCGACCGGTTTGGCGCGGCGGCAAAAAGGCGGGAGCTTGATGGCGACTCCTCAAGGCGCGCTTCTGAGCTGTAGTTTCGGTGGGTGATCGGCCGGCCCCACTGCTCGGCGTCGCGACGTCAACACGCGCGGCGCAAACATGCATGCTTGCACTGCATTGGCCGAGCCGACGACGGGCCCGTCCGAGCCGCGTGTCCGGGCGCGTTGGCTCACCTGACGTGTGCCGGCGCCGTTTCAGCGACGATGCGGCTCTGCATGGGCTCGAGGCGGGGCTTCATCACGCGCATGAAGATCGGCAACGTGCAGCCGGACAACATGATGTCGGCCCACCTGAACCGGCTGCGCGGCCGCAACTCGCTGGGCGCCGGCGCCGACGGCAACAACTACGCCGTCGTCCACTGCACCGGCTACATCAAGAACTGGCCGCCCACCGGTACGTCCCGGGTTGTGGGGGTGAGGATGGCGGGGGGGGGGGGGGGTCGAACGGGGGCAGAAGACCGGCAGAGGTGAACCGACGCCTGGCAGTGGAACTCCTTAAGCTTTGGTAGACGCCCTACGTGGCGACGTCAATGAGAGATAGAGAAAGAAAGAAAGAGAGGACATTTGCAGGGAAGGAGGGACAATCTGCGAATGGAGAGGGGTAAAAGTGATGTCAGGAGCTTCTGAGGAGAGTTCACCGCGAGAAGGGGTACGCCAGAGAGGCTGTCGACTGAGGACCGCGTCAGCCCCAGGTGAGGCGCGCCATAGCTCCGCGAAATTACGGCCACGCGGTCGTGCCTTTGGAACGCGCAATGTTAATTCGCAGTACCATTGTGCGGGGAATCGATGTGTACTTCCGTGCTGGCGGCCTCAGCCGTGCGGCTTTGTGCCAGCGTCACAGTTATAGTAGAAAGCGGGGGTCTTAACCACCGACACTATATCAAGTTGACAAGAACGGCCCGAGATAATGGCGTTCGCTAATCGCTAATCGATCTCGTCAATCATGTCACGAAATGCGCCGGTGACTGCTGAGACGAGCCCTTTTATCACTGGGACTTGCGCAGGTGGCGAGGGAGTGTGCGGTTGGGAATGCTGGCGAAATAACGATCTCGCTCCGCGCGGCTTCCGTCACGTTGTGCCAGTCTTCGGGAAAAAGGCAATTTGCTGTGGCGTATGCACTTTATAAAACTGTCGTATTGTGTCATTTCCTTGTATAGGCTGTATTATTGTGTCATCAATTTGCGGGGATCAAAATATTAAAGCACGTACTGCCGACGGATTTGTGCAGCTCAGTGTTAGCGAGCTCTGTTACCAGCAGCAGTGTGAACCTCCTACCACGCACGGGCGAACTCCCATCCACTGGCAATCAGAGCGCGTGGAGATGAGCGACGCCTGTGCGCAGCGCGCGTTAGTGCTGTGTCTGTACGCGGCGCGGCGTGGCGGCGGTGTCCGGGGACTGCCCGACAGCTGTTCGGTGCGGTGCAGTGCTCGCACGACCCTGCGCGGGCCCGAGCGCGGCGGTGAGCGCCCGGGGCTCCGGTCACGGGGCCCGTGTCTCGCGCCGCGCCGCGGCCGATGGACGGCGGTCGGCCGGTGTCCGCCGGCCGCCGGGTACCGGCCGCCGGGCCGGGCCGGCGCCAGTGTCGGTGCCATAGCCGGCCGCCGGGTACTGGCCGCCGGGCCGGGCCGGCGTCAGTGTCGGTGCCATAGCCGGCCGCCGACCGCCGGCCGCCGCGAACGCCGGCTGAGTAGCCGCCATCCGCGCCGGAGGAGGCGGAGGCGGCCTGAACCGGCACACGGGCGCCCGGCCCGCAGATTGCACACAATTGGCGGCGGCTATCGGCGATCGCGGCGGTGTCGGCGCCGCTTTTTTCGCCGGCGCGCCGCTATCGGCGCCGATCGGGACTGCAGCGGCCGGCCGGCTGCAGCCGCCGGGACCCTCCGTTCATCCCGGTGCCGGTCTCCGTGCCCTGGCAGCGGCACCGTACTCAGCGGTGTGGGCGCTGTGGGGGCCGAGCGGGTGTCGAGCGGCGGGGCGGCCCGCGCCGGCAGCAGGCCCACGTCTGGGTCAGTCTGCCGGCTCGAGGCGGCGCCGCAGCACTGGGCGGCCACCGTGGGCTTCCCACCAGCGGGCGGCGTCGCTGCGTTCACTGGGGACGCCCGTACGTCCGCTCCGTGCCGTGGGAAACCGGTGCGCGCGTGCTGCAGGCAAACGCCATGTCGGATCGCCCTTTTGTACGTTACGCTGTTGTGCCGTTTTGATAGAAGCGCTCGGACCTCGTTGCATATGTGTAGTGAAAACTTCCCACGGTTACGAAATGTGTTCCGTGTTTCTCGTGCGGAAAGTCTGGAGCGCACAGCGCAGCTCCCTATCCGAGTGGCAAAGTACTAGCACTAGGAGTAGATTTCTCACCATCGTGCGAAGGCAGTCGTCGTATGATGCTCTGGTGCTCGCCGCGTGGGCAAGTGGACCACCGCTGATATTACTGCCGTTTTCGTGGCCATTTAAGGCGTGTTGCTCACGCCGTCACGCTGAAGTGAGGCGTCGGCGGTCTGGATGTCTCTGTCGCCCACGTGTTGCTCTTGATGGCGATATGTCACACCGCACAGTCTCACGGCTTTTTCGCTCCGAATACCATCATTTCTGTGTGATGGCGATGACGAGCGGCAGACTCCAGCTCACCGTCGGGTGGCGTTTCCGACTCGCCCGACATCGCTGGTGCGGGAACGGTGCGGCCCGACGGGCGGAGGGGGGGGGGGGGGGAGCCTAACGCGCTTGCCGCGGGAGCTATCCGCCCGCTGTCGACGCCCGGCAGCGGCGCTTTCTGCGCGACGGGAGCGGGCACCCGCTGTCGCCGCGCGGCGCCCTTTCGACACCCGGCAGCGTTCCGTGCCGTGATCTCCGCCACCGCCGCGCTGACCGCTGCCGTGGCATGGCTGCACGATAGCGGCCGTCCACGCCGGCCGGCTCAGCGGCACGGCAGGAGCACGCCGCCGATGGCCGGGGTCATTGCCACGATTAGGCCGAGATCCGGCGTGGGGCCGCGTGACGCCGCGTCCGGCAGCCGGGCCCAGCCTGGTGAGAACGCCGCATTTTTGTGCGGCCGGGCGTCACGCCAGCGGCCGTGTGTTGACCTGCCGGCGCCGGCTGAGGCCGAGGCGGGGGTGCCGTCGGTGACGGGGCGTGGTCCGGCGCCGGACGAGGCCCCCCGCCGACAGCCCCGGCGGGACCTGTTAGCCTTTAGCGACCGGCCGGGCGCCACCGTTCTCGGCGGGCTCTTTAATCGGACGCGGCGACGCCGGCCGGGCCGTAGCCGGCGCATCACCAGATTGGCGCGGCTGGCCGGAAGGTTTACGAGGCTGCCGGAGCGTCGGCCGCGCTCGTCGGCCCGCCCCGGAGTGGGCCACGGCGGCGGCGGGTGGCCGGGTCCGCGTGCGGCGCCCCACCGCCCGTCAGCGGGCTGGGGGGTCCGCGCGCAACTGGCGGCGGCGCGGCCCCGCCCCGCCCCGCCCCGGTCCGGCCGAGCCATGCACCGCCCGGATCCGTGCCGTTTTTATGTGAGGTGTAAGAGAGCTGGCCGTGTTACGGCCCGAGCGTGCCGGAGCGGGCCGGTGAGCGTGCAGCGTTTAGCCGGGATTGTCGGCTCCGCGGTCGAACCGGCGTCGGAGACGCCCTTCGTCTTCAGATGTACGTAATCAACGCCAGGCCTTTTTCGATGCGGCTTCGCTGCGTTTCCAGCTTGCAAGGATTGCCAAATGCTGTTGATTTTTACAGATGCCGTTGGTCGGCCGGCCTTTGTGAAGTTAAAATCTGACTGTGGTGATAAGATCTTATAAGGGTTAGCTTTATTACTTCCGATGATTTTTGCATTTTGCTCCGACTGATAGGCTTCACCTTATTTAATTTTTAACGCGGCCGGCGCGCGCCCATTTTTTGTTTGCCAACGGTTGGTTGCATTGTTCAATTCCACGTGTGACGTGTACTAAACACGGGCACGTCCTTGGATCGGTTCGTGGCGAGCTCATTGAATTTTCATGATTGGTTTAGCACACACACGAATGGAAATTGATTGGTACGTGTGATTAGTAACAACGAAGATAGAATTGTGCGCCCATAGACAAAGCCCATTGTTACGCGATCGAATCAGTTCCCAGAAACGTTTCTTCGCGTGAATTGTTTAAAACGGTTCTGACGTTAGATCGTGAAGGAGTTTGAAGCATTCACGATAAGAAATACGTAATTGATACCCCGCCACTCCCAACACCGTTCTCAGCATCAGTACCCTAGCATCAGTCGTGTACCTACCATCAGTCACCGCGCGCGGCTCGTGCCGTCATTGCCCTGCTCTCTGCATTGGAGCGTGTCTGGGTGAAGCCCTGCAGGCTCAGCGGAACGCCCGCATCGCTCCATCGGATGGGCGAGGGCCGTCCGAGCGGCGACTGGCGTGTGACATCTGACGTCTGCCCCGCGGGCGGGCGGCCTCCGGATGGACGAGGATCGTCCGAGCGGCGATCGACGCGTGACATCTGACGTCTGCCCGGCCGGCGGCCCGTCCTCCTAACAGTGCCGACTGCGGACTCGGCGGCGGCCAGCCGGGCCGTCGGACCTGCCGCCCCCGCACGGTCCGCGTGACCTCCCCGTCCCCAGGAGGGCGAGGGGAGGGGGCAGCAGAGCCGGAGCGGATGCCGACCTGAGCGGCGGGTGGCGCCGGGGGACCGCCGCAGGCAGACGGGCCCAGGCAACCACCGCCGGCCGGGGGCGCGCTGATTAGTTCCGACGACGATATGCCTCTGTTGCTGCCGGCTGTCGGGCTCGTCTTCTTACGAGCTTGCTGTCGTGTAGTTGTTTTTCGTTAGTTTTACTGTGCTCAGTGACCCAGCTGGCCAAGGACATGGAATTCTAAGCCACTGCTGAAAAGTGTGACAACGCGCGGTGACGATAAAAAACAGAATTTTTACACCCGCTGCGACATGTATGTAGTAATTTGTTCTGACCTGGGCGCCGCACGTTCCGCAAATTGTACACAATATGAAATGTTTCATGACTGCATCCACTAAGTGGTTGCATGCGCCATAAGTTCTCCGGTATTTTGGGACCCAAAGCGCTTTATGACTTAAGCCGTTCCAAATTGGTTATGTGAATTGCAGGTGGGCTGTTCATGATCTCCTCCACACCTGTCTCCTCTGGAACAAAGCTGTTCCCTAGTGGATTAATTGGGCGAGTTTGAACGTTCATAAAGATTTGCAACTCCCCAGACATTGGTTGGCTCGAAGTGGCTGCTGTTGCACTGTTAAAAGATGGTACTCGTTTTGGGGGTCTGGGTGTTGTACCGCACGTGCTGTCACCATGGTGTACGAGGTCCGGCCGCCGGTGTTCCTGCCATCAGCGCTGTGTCACTGGGTGGGTTTGTACAGGGGCGGGCCTCCCTGGGCTGAGAGCGAGCATTTGAGCCCGTCTGATTTGCCAGATTTCCAAGGTATCCAACTGGAGCGGGTGGACGACGAGGTGATGGGCAGCTCGCACTGCTGCATGGTTGCCATTGGCCGACTCCAGATCACCTCGGTGCCCAGCGCCAGCGAGCTCACCAACGCCAGCAACAGCAACGGTCAGTGGTGAACGACACCGGGCCGCGGTCAGTACGGCAGGGCCGGTGATGACGTCACTGGTCTGTCAGCGAGCGAGCGGCGTCCTCACCAGGCCACGGTCAGTACGGCAGGGCCGGTGGTGACGTCACTGGTCTGTCAGCGAGCGTCCTCACCGGGTCACGGTTAGTGCGGCAGGGCCGGTGGTAACGTCACTGGTCTGTCAGCGAGCAAGCGGCGTCCTCACCGGGCCACGGTCAGTGCGGTAGGGCCGGTGGTGACGTCACTGGTCCGCGCCGGCGAGCGCACCAATAGCAGCAATGGTCAGTGGCGCCACGCATCGCGCAGTACGCGGCGAGCCTGACGGCTAGTGGTTGTGACGCACTTTTGTCACCTGGTGCTAGTAATCGGCGCGCTGCCCATTTGAGCGCGGCACCCGCGCGGCCCAGTGGACCGCCTGGCTTTCGTGCTTCATCGCGGCACGGTGTTGTTCCATGACAGCCCTAGCCTGGCGGCAGGAGGCCTGGTATTTCGGCACTAACGACTACCGTCGCGGAGGTGTGTCATGTCGTCCGCCCCGTGCGCGGAGCGTGGCACCGCCGGCGGGTGTTCACTGCCTGACCCGAGCCGCCTGTACGCGGCTGGCGGCGGGCGACGAGCGGCGAGCGGCGTCCCGCTCCCCGCCGTCCGGACCTCCGTGACCTCCCGTCCACGGCCGGCAGAGTTCGTCAGCCGTCACGGTATGGACGGCAAGTTCTCGTTCGTCGACCAGCGCTGCCTCAACCTGGTGGGCTACACGCCGCCCGAGCTGCTTGGCAAGCTCTGTTTCGACTTCATCCACCCTGAGGAGCTGGCCAACGTTAAGGAGAACTTCGAGCAGGGTCAGTGACGGCGCCGGCCGGGGTGCGCTGCTGGGACGAGCTGTCCTCTCCATCGTCCGTGATTACTTAAGGCTTCGTCGCTCAGGTGCATACGCTTTATTGGATCGTGGTCACGGTACGCCTCCAAAGCGGTTCCTGCTATATACTGATAAGGCAGGTTTTGTCCTATTTGAGGCGTTGCTATGTTGTTATGCTGCTTGCATGTACGGTTGCAATGTGTGAATTCTCCGTGCCTGACGCTCGGTGTCGACCGTTTCCAGTGATAAAGATGAAGGGCCAAGTGATGAGCATTATGTACCGGTTCCGGTCGAAGAGCCGCGAGTGGGTCTGGCTGCGCACGTCCGCCTTCGCCTTCCTCAACCCGTACACGGACGACATCGAGTACATCGTGTGCACCAACACGTCCGTGAAGGCGGTGGGCGGCGGCGGCGCGACGGCCGGCGCCGAGCCCGAGCACGCGGCCGACCCGTACGGCCACCCGCCGGGGCTGGACTACTCGATGCAGCCGGTACCAGCACATGGCACACGTGCAGTCGGCGCAGCGTCCGAGCAGCACGCAGACGGCGTACAGCTACGACGCCACGCAGAGCCCGCTGGGCTACTCGCCGGTGCCGGCCGGCGGCGGGCCGCGGCCTGCAGCAGTACAGCCAGATGTCGCCGGCCCGCTCGCCGGGCGGCGCCGCCGGCTACGCGCCGCCGCGGCCGGCGCTCACGCCCGGCCAGTACCCGGCGTCGAGCGGCGCGCCGGCCGCCGCCGCCGGCCTCTGGTACCCGGCCGACGCCGGCGCGGCCGGCGGCGCCGGCGCCGGCAGCCCGGCCGTGTCGGCGGCGGCGGCCGGCGCCCCCGGCGCGCCCGGCCAGCCGCAGCAGGAGATCTCCGACATGCTCCAGATGCTCGACCAGCCGGCCGCCGGCTTCGAGGATCTCAACATGTTCAACTCGACCTTCGAGTGAGCACCCGCGACCCCGCGAGGGGACGCGCGCGTCGGCCACCCCGGCCGCGGCCTCGCATATCAGTGACGAGCGGCCGGCGACGGCGGCGCGGGCCCCAAACAAATATCTCATGCATTTCATACTACTTAATAGAGGTCAGATGCCTAGGTACTAACCGGAAAGCAAGTGTTTTTGTATGGCAAAGTGTATTGTTTGGTCCCAGATGCCAAACATGCCCACGTGTCACAAAGTTTTAAATATGCATGTGTTGCGCGTTCGTGCAAATGCGTATGTACGCGCGTATGTCTGCATAGCTAGGTAATTCTTACTCCAGTAAGACGTGTTTTGACAAACTGTGACATTTCTTAAGGGAGGCCCTACGGCACATTTTTAGAAACCATTGGTTGAAGGTGAAATTGAATGAATCTCATCGACGAACAAACGCCTGTGTAGCATGTAGAAGCACCATGTGAGTTTAGGCTGGTGTACAGCTATTCCCATCCTGTTGCGACCTTTTTGGGCCGCTTATCTAGGAAGATTGAAATTCCGCAACCAAGTTGCCCTACTTATGATTTGTTTTTGTTACGTCTGCGCCGTGTTTATAGTTATCTATTTTTGACGGCGTTCCTCTGGAGGGGGTTGGACTCTGAGCGGCTCGTGCGCAGCTCGTGTCGACCCCCCGTCAGCTATCCTCCGTCTCCGGAGCACCCTGCGACGCGGCGGCGTCACCTGGACACAGTGCCCGCGTACTGGAATACATACACTAGGTGTCAGCGCCGACTTGTCTTTGTGGGCAGCTGTCTCCGGATAGTGAGATGCCTGCTGATAGACCAGTGACGTCACTGGGAGGAGCGGCAGTACTCAGCGGGCGAGGTCCATCGGTCGGGTCGGCACATGGAAGTTGGACTGTGTGGACTCAGAACGCTGACTTGTGCGGCAGCGCAATTTTATGCCCCTCCCCCCCCCCGTCAACATGAGTTCTGAAAGATCAGTTGGTTGGAGCGCACGCCTTCCTTTTCACCCATCCATAGCGGGAGAGTTGGAATCACCCCAGACGCTCGCTATTTGCCCCCCCCCCCCCCCATCGGGATGACGTGCGGTCAGTGACAGCGGCCACGCTTAAGGTCAGATGACGTCAGACGAGCAGGATGGGCCGTGCCGGGCATTGCGGCACGCTAAGCTTCCGCCGCAATATTCAGCCGTTGACCCGGAATCTCACGATAGGATGGCGCTCAGGTATCACGCAACGAGCCATGCTCAGTGAGGGGCGCCGATCTCACAAATCCATCCAGTTACAAGACTCAAGCTAAAACCCGTGAAAACAAAAATGTCCGAGGGATCCTGATGCCGCATTTAGCGCACCAGACAGGTGAGTGACAGCTTTGGCCCCGCCTGGCATTGCCGGGTTGGGGGGTGACATTTCTGTGATCGCGCCCCGAACAGGCGCGTCCCTGCTCGGCGCAATTACAACGATCTATTGCTGACGGGATAGCTACCAGATGTATATCATCTATCAGTGCAACGGCCGACGTGAGGTGTGCGTGGTAGGGAAACCATGGCGGCGACCCCGCTGACCACCTCTCAAACGCGGTGCGTGATTTTCGCGTCGTCGAACTCCAGTCGTTGAACTCCACTGTTTTTTATTTGGTCTATTCCGTTTGAGTCCAAGGTAATTTACCAACATTCAGAGGGTAATTCGCCAGCTTCAGGACGAAGCTCGTCATCGCTGCGCGTCGGGTTAAACTGCGACCGACACGTACCTGTCCGTGCAGCATTCCAATGGCACCAGCCTGGGCGTCGGGTCGAGCGTAGGAGCGCAGACTGTATCCGGTGAAGGTGTTCTGTTAGGGGGGCAGATCAAGGACGTACCACCTCGTGAGTTTATTGCACATTTGATGAGCATTTTGCCAAGTTTATATATCACAGTCACACGCCCCATGCCGCATGGAAGGATCTGTCACGCGGCGGAATATCACCCGATTCAACGCCAGAAGCGTGTCCCCCACAGTCCACGATAGCCCCCCATGTACATAGTCACACACGTCCGGACGGGCGCACAGCTCCCGCCGTGCGCCCGCCCCCCCCCCCCCCCCGCGCCACGGTGCCGGAGTCACGCGGGTGTCCGTCAGCCGGCAGCAGTCAGTTGAGAGCCGAGCTGGAACGTGCACGAGTCCAACCAGCCGGCCAGCGGTCAGTTTTGAGAGCTGGGCTGGAGGCCGCGCGCGAGTCCCGTCAGCCGGCAGCGGTCAGTTGAGAGTGGGTCTGGAGCCGCCGCGCGGGTCCAGCAGCCGGCAGCGGTCAGTTTGTGAGAGCCTGGCTGAAGCCGCGGCGCGAGTCCAGTCAGCCGGCAGCGGTCAGTTGAGAGCCGGGCTGGACCGTGCAACGAGTCCGTCCAGCCACGGCAGCGTCAGTTTGAGAGCCTGGGTCTGGAGCCGCGGCGCGCGTCGCAGCCGGGCAGGCGGTCAGTTTGAGAGCCGGGCTGGAACCGTGCACGAGTCCACCAGCCGGCAGCGGTCAGTTTGAGAGCCGGGCTGGCGTGCACGAGGGTCCACCAGCCGGCAGCGGTCAGTTTGAGAGCCGGGCTGGAACCGTGCACGAGTCCACCAGCCGGCAGCGGTCAGTTTGAGAGCCGGGCTGGAACCGTGCACGAGTCCACCAGCCGGCAGCGGTCAGTTTGAGAGCAGGCTATCGTGCCGGGCCAGCTGGCGAGCGACGTAGTCCAGATGGGCCCGGCCAGTCCTGGCCGCGG